AGCGGGATTGCCTTTTTTTGAGGTAGCAGGGTTTGCGGTCTGAGTAGGTTCGCTCACCTGTTTAGTCTTTCCACCCATTTTAGCACGAACTTCTTTCTCACTCTGAGCAAAGTCTGTAGAGAGCGTCTTGGATAGTCGTTGGCAGGTTGATAGTCAACTCTTGCCAGAATGGAAATGGGCATCGAAGCGGTCCTCTCAAAGCTTCTAGCGCAGACGTGTTGCTGATACCGTCCACCTTTGACAGCGTATGTTTGAACTTCGTCATGAAAGACCGTGAAGATGTTGTAATGCTGCACAAACATCTCGGAGAGTTGGTGGAAGGTAGAACTGAATTCTTCTCTAGCTTGTAGAACCATTGGAGGGCAGGCCCCTTGAGGCTTTCCACGAATATCTTGCAGTAGCCAATGTCTTTTTCGGTTTTCCTGAAATTTGCTCTTCCTAGAGCCACTTCGAACTCCATCAGATGGTCCGAAGGGTATGTGGTTCCTTCGTAGATTGATAACTTGATTCTTCTGGGATCGGAGAATTTAGTCTTCGCGATCCGTTTGGCGAAGGGTGTGTTCCGTGCTTTCTCGAGCATATGGGCGATTTTAGAAGCTTTCCCCGTGCTACTGTGTATCTGTGATTCGGTTATCTTCAGATCAGAGACGACTCGCTCCATCAGCGCTCTCAGCGATTTCTGCATTCCAAGATCATTTTAGCGCCCTACGCTCCTTCTCCCTCTTGTAACACTCTGCTACGGAGGGTCCGCGTTCGTCAACGCTGGGATAGTCGTTGTACTCTGAAGTATCTTGCAGGGTTTCCGTCCGAGAGGACGACGACATGCTTTGACGGTTTGGAGCGCATGCTTCCCATGGGTTACCACTCGTCCGAGATCTCCTCGAAGCGTTATGGAGTTCTGTCAGATTCCCGCCGTGGCGGTGATGGCGGCAAGTGGCCTGGATCCCTTCGAGCAGTACGAGGTGTTGAGAAGTTGAGGCGATGCGGGTCGAAGCGACCCCTGAGTCCAGTGGTTTCAGGTCTTTCACGCTTTCTTCGCGAAAGAGCTTTCAGTTCGTTCGTAGTTGCCTCGTTGAACTTTTTTTGCTCATTCGTCTCTCTGAGGAGCGTTTCCAGCATCTGTTTGACCTAGGTCATGTATCCTGGGTTAGCAGCGACATTAGTAGCAGAGACTTCGACGGAGTTCTCCCTCTCTTGGTTTGTTCTGTGAGACGAGGACTCCTCGCTGCTACTACTTGATTTATTCTCTTCGCCGCTCATCTTCTCAGATCTGGTGTGTAACGTAGCTTTTTTGTGGGAGAAAGTCTAATTCCCCTTAGATAGTGCCAAATTGTGGAGGCCAATACTAGCACAATTATATTTATAAGGGTTTCGTGAGGAAACAAATATTTCTAGGTTAAGCTACGAAAGAAATGATGAGCAAAGAGAAACATTTTTTATTGCTGTATATGCTTTTGTGAATAAAGTTGCGGATCCCTTTTACAAAGGTTGTACATTGATATATATAGCTCCCTAAGTCAGCTCGATTTTTTCGTAAAAGATAATGCTAACTTTTCTAAGTTTTCGCGGATTCCCTTTTCTTTATGTCAGTTGCGTCGAAGTGGGTTTCGTAATTGGATTGGGCTTTAATGCAGGGAACCTTCTGGCCTATGTCGCTACTCTGGCAGGTCTTTGGTGGTCAGTGTCATCGCTGGCACTGTGACTTCGCAGGCACTGTGACATCGCTGGCACTATGACATCGCTGGCAGTGTGACATCGCTGGCAGTGTGACCTCGCTGGCGCTGTGTCCCCGCTGGCTTTGTGACCTTACTGCACTCATGTCTTCTGCTGAGAGTAGAAAGGACTCAGAAGGCTCCTTTCCTGGACGGAGAAGACTTCAGAAAAGAGAAAGACTTCGTCTTCTTGTTAGGAAATGACTTGGGAGGATCATTTAATATATGTACGTCAACGCGATTCCATGTCTATGCGCTACGCTTGCATAACTTTGGACTTCAATGTCGAGCAGGTGAAATCCGACCCC